GCCAAGCAGCATCAGAGGAGCAGGAAGGCTGACATTTCGGGCCTTCCTACTCCTCTGATGTTGCTTGGCCTGCTGTGTTCATCCAGCTCTACACCTTGTTAAATCAGCCCATTGTGTTTACACTGACCCTTTGAAGAGCATCCCACCCAGACCTACCCCTCTAACCCTGCATTTCCCATGGCTAACCCACCTAGCCTGCACACTATGGGCAATTCAGCAATGGCATATCTTTGGATGGTGGGGAGAAACCAGAGAAAACTCATGCAGGGAGGATGTGCAAACTCCACACAGTCATTCACCCAAGTCTGGAATCCAACCCGGGTCCCTGGTGCTATGAGACAGCAATGCTAACCACTGAGCCACTGTGCCAATCTATAGCCTGCTCCCCATAGACCTGTATCCTGCTTTTCATCAGAAACATATCTGTTTCTTTCTTGAATCTGTTGATTGATTCTGCCTCAATTCCACTCTGGGGCGGTGAGTTCCACAGATTTACAACCCTCCAAGAGAAGCAATTTCTCCTCATCTCAGTTTTGAGCTTACCTCCTCTCACTCTGTATTCTATGACCTCTTGTTTGAGACTGTTCCACAAGGGGGAACATCTGTTCAACTTCCACCTTATCAACCCCCTTTAGGCTTTTATATACCTCAATCAGACCCCCTTCAATCAGATTGACCAGGATGTTGCCTGGGATGGAGCAGTTTAGCGATGAAGAGAGGCAGGACAAGCTCAGGTTGTTTTCTTTGGAGCAGAGAAGGCTGAGGGGTGGTGTGGTTTGATAGCGATGCATAAGACAAGGACAGTGTCGATAGAAAGCAGCTGTTCCCCTGAGTTGAGGGGTCAATAATAAGGGGCATAATTTTAAAGTGAAAGACAGGAGGTTTAGAGGGAATTTGAGGAAAATCTTTTCACCCAGAGGATGGTAGTTGTCTGGAATGCACTGCCTGAGAGGGGAGTTGAAGCGTGAAACCGCACAACCTTTAAAAAGTACTTGGATGAGCACTTGAAATGTCATAACAATCAAAACAATGAGCCTAGTGCGATAAAGTGGAACCAGTGTATGGAAGGAGCTGCCAGAGGAAGTGGTGGAGGTTGGTACAATTACAACATTTAAAAGGCTGCGTATATGAATAGGAAAGGTTTAGACTGATACGGGCCAAATGCTGGAAAATGGGACTAGATTAATGGAGACTATCTGCTCAGCGTGGATGAGTTGGACCGAAGGGTCTGTTTCCATGTTGGTACAGCTCAATGGCTCTAATGTCAGTAGTCGTATATTTTTGGCGACACAAACTCAATGGGCTGAAGGCCTTCTTCTGTATGATCTTATGAAATTGACGATAATTATATACATGACTTGGAATCAGAAACAGAGTACAGGGCTGTGAAACTTAATTACAGTACCAAACTGGAAGTAGAGTGAATAGGACATGGCCTGTGAGAGTTGAACTAACCCGGAGGAGAAATGCAGAAGTTATCGGATGCTGGTGAGTCAGAGGAAACAGCAAATGCGTTTTCTGCAATTGACAAAGTGGCGGGGAAGAGCTGAGAGATATTTATATGTTTGAGCTGCTACACAGCTATGAATATTTCAAAGCAAAGCCAATCAGCAACAACAAAGCTAACGGAATGACAAACCGTTGTGTAAACAGGAAAATGTTACAGTCCATTGGTCAGACTACAACCTTGAAAATTGTTACGGTGTCTGGTCGCCAAGAAACAAGAAAATAATCCAAGCACGGGAGACAGTGCATTGAGGACTCTGTGTATGATCTGGTCTCTCAGCCAGGCAGTTGTGGGAGAGAAGTCCTGGGTTTTTTAACCTTTTATAATAAGGCTTCTTTGAGGAAGGTGAACTTAAAGACAGAAGTCGCTAGAACAAACCAGGAGAGGAAGGTAAAACCAAATGTTCATGTTAGTATTTGAGACTGTTGAGCAAAAAGCAGGTTTTCTTACAGGCCTGACCTCAAGAAATTTGCAGAGTCAGAGTGGACTCTCAGACAAAGGAATGAAGGCAAAACCCTGAAATCCTGCAAGTAACATTTACAAGTACATTGGAGTCCCTCTGGCCAGAGGGATTAGAATGGGCAGTACGGCCTATCTCATTGGTAATAATAAAAGCTGACAGAACTGCGGATACTGTGAATCAGAGACAAAAACAGAAATTGCTGGAAAAGCTCAGCAGGTCTGGCAGCATCTGTGGAGAGAAATCAGAGTTAATATTTTGGGTCGAGTGACTCTTCCTCAGAAGGATCCAGTTCTGAGGAAGGGTCACTCGATCTGAAACGTTAACTCTGATTTCTGTCCACAGGTGCTGCCAAACCTGCTGAGTTTTTCCTGCAATTTTTGTCTCATTGGTAATAATCTTGTGTGAAGAGGATGAAGTGCCTTGTGAGTGTTTGGTCAGTGCTGATGAACAGGGGTATGTGAACAAAGAGAAAATATTAAGAAGTAATATCAGAGTGTATTCAGGCAAACTAACGTAGAGAATACTGAGCTAATGGGTGGAATCAGACTAATGATGACTAAATTCGGGTTACACTGCATGTATGCGAATACATGAGTATAGAGTCATTGTGGTCTACAACACAGAAAAAGGTCCTTTGGCCCATCGAGTCTGTGCTGGTCAAAAACAACCACCTCACTATTCTAGTCCCACTGATAAGAGTTACAGGTACAGATTGCATTGTGTGATTGTGATGTTGTGGCAATAATGGAGACCTGGTTTAAGGAAGGATGAGATTGGGTGCTAAACATTCCTGGCTACAAGCCATTCAGAAAGGACAGGGAAGTACAAAAGTAGGAGGGATGGAGTGTATTTGGTTAAGGACAGCATTGAAGTTATAGTCAAAGAGGATGTTTCAGAGGTTTCAAGGACAGAATTGATTTAGTTAGAGCCAATGAATAAGAAGGGGGTAATGAGATTATTTGATATTATCTATAGCCAGTGGGAAGGATGTAGAGGAACAATTCTGCAAGGAAATAGCAGAAAGGTGTAACCATGGTAGAGCAATTATAATGAGGACTTCAATTACCTGTAAATTGACAGGGACAGAGCAAATGTAAGGGGCAAAGAGGAACAAGTATTATTAGATTGCATGTGCATTGTATTACCTGCAGCAGTATGTATCCAGTCCAACCTGAGATAAGGCTCTGTTAGACAGGCCTTGGCAATGAGGTGGGCCAAAGCAATCAGGTGACAGTGGAGCAGACCGTTTCGGTAACAGTGATCATTGTATCATAAGGTTTGGGATGATGGTAGGAAATGACATTGGTCAATCTGAGTAAGAATAATCAACTGGTAGAGAGCAGGTTTCAATGGGGCTAGATATATTGGAATGCAAGTTGTTGGGACAAACAGTAGCTACTTTTAAAGAGGAGATGGTTGGGATATTGTTGAGGTATGTTCCCTTAAATTGGAAAGGTGAGACAAACAAATGAAAGTTCCCTGAATGATGAAGGAGATCGAAATTAAGGTAAAGAAGAAAATGTCTACTCATGACTGGTGTGAGGCAGTAAATACAATTGAGAACCAAGCTGAACATAATAGGTTTCAGAAGGGAGGTGAGTAATCAAATAAGGGAAGCAAACAGGGACTATGAAAAAAGCCTGGCAGCTAAAATAGAAGGAAATCCCCCAAAGTCTTTTGCAAGCACTTCAAAAGGAAAAGGGAAATAGTAAAAGGAGAATTAGGACAAATTAGGGATCAAAAAAGGATTTACATTTTGATGCAAGAGGTATGGACTCAAGGTCGATGATGCTCAAGCTGTAGTGACAGAAGAGGAGGTTCAATTAACAGGATGGTTGATTATTGATAAGGAGGAGGTGTTGGATAAACTGTTGGTATTTAAAGTTGATAAGGCACTGGGTATGGATGAACTGTATCCAAGGATATTGAAGGAAATAAGAGTCGAAATTATAGCAGCACTGATAGTTATCTTTCCCTGGATTTGTGGGTGGTGCTGGAGGACTGGAGAATTGTAAACCACAACACCATAAGAAATAGGAACAGGAGTAGGCTGTTCAGCCCCTTGAGCCTGCTCTGTCATGCAAAGGGATCATAGCTATTCCGACATTCCTCATCTCCACTTTCCTGCCTTTTCCCCATAACCCTTGATTCCCCGAATGATTGAGAATCTATCTACCTCAGCCTTATATATACACAAGGACTCTGTCCCCACAGCTCTCCATGGTGAGGAGTTCCAAAGACTCTCAACCGTCTGACAGAAGAAATTCCTCCAAGTCTCAGCTTTAAATTGATGCCCCTCTATTCTGAGACTGTGCCCTCTGGTCCTAGAGGCTCCCATGAGGGGAAACATCCTCTCAGCATTTACCCTGTCAAGCCCCTTAAGAATTTGATATGTTTCAATGAGATCACCTCTCATTCTTCTAAACTCCAGTGAGTAGAGTCCCAACTTGTTTAGCCTTTAGACCATAAGATCATAAGAAATGTAATAGACCATTTGGCCCATTGAGTCTGCTCCACCATTCGATCATGCCTGCTTTGTTTCTCAACCCCATTCTCTGGCCTTCTTCTCAAAACTTTGATCCCTTTACTAATCCAGAATCTATCTACCTTTATCTGAAATACATTCAATGATTTGGCCTCCACAGCTTTCTGTGACAATGAGTTCCACAGGTTCACCACCCTCTGGCTGAAGAAATTCTTTTGCATCTCAGTTCTAAATGATCATCCCCCTACTCTGAGGCTGTACCCTGGGGTCCTAGTCTGTTGTACAAGTGGAAACATCTTCTCCACGTCCACTTTATCCAGGCCTCTCAGTATTCAGTAAGCTTCAATCAGATCCCTCTCATCATCCTAAACTCCATAGAGTACAGACTCAGAGTTCTCAGCTTCTCCTGATATGACAAGCCCTTCATCCCTAGGATTATTCTTGTAAACCTCCTCTGGACCCCCTCCAAGGCCAGCACATCCTTCTTTAGATATGGAGCCCAACAATTCTCACAATATTCTAAATGCAGTCTGACCAGAGCCTTATACAGCGTCAGCAGTGCATCTCTGTTCTTGTATTCTAGCCCTTTCGAAATGAATGCTAACATTGTATTTGCCTTCTTAACTGCTAACTGAACATGCATGTAATTCTTGAGAGAACTTGAACTAGGACTCCAAAGTCCCTTTGTACTTCAGATTTCTGAAGCCTTTCCCCATTTAGAAAATTGTCTATATCTCTAATCTTCCTACAAAAATGTTTAACATCATACTTTCCCACATTCCATCTACTAATTCTTTGCCCACTGTCCTAGCCTATCCAAGTCCTTCTGCAGACTCCTCGCTTCTTCAATACTACCTGACATTTCAAACTTAGCAACAATGCCCTCAGTTCCTTTGTCCAGATCATTTATGTATAATGTGAATATTTATGATCCCAACACGGACTCCTGAGGAACTCCACTAGTCGCTGGCTGCAATCTTGAAAAAAGGCCCTTTTATCCCTACTCTCTGCCTTCTGCTAGTCAGCCAATCCTCTATCCATGTCAGTACCTTGCCCCTAACACCATGGGCTCTTATCTTATTTAGCAGCCTCCTGTGTGGTGCCTTGTCAAATGTCTCCTGGAAATCTAAATAGATCACGTCCACTGGCTCTCCTTTGTCTAACTTGCTTATTACATCCTCAAAGAATTCTAACATACTTGTCAGGCATGACCTCATTTGACAAATTCTCGCTGACTCAGCCCTATTTAATTGTGCACTTCCAAGTACTCAGCAATCTCATCCTTAATAATGGACTTGAATATCTTATCAACAGTCAAGGTCAGGCTAATTGGTCTCTTATTTTTCTGTCGACTCCTTCCCTCCTTTATTAAACAAGAATGTTATGTTAGCCATTTTCCAGTCCTTTGGGATCCTTCCAGAATCCAGTGATTTCTGAAAGATCACCGCCAATGCGTCCACAATCTCTTCAGTTAACTCCTTCAGAACTCTGGGGTGCAGTCCATCTGGTCCAGGTTATTTAACCACCTTAAGACCTTTCAGCTTCCCCAGCACTTTCTCCTTAGTGATGGCGACTACACTCACCTCTGCTCCCTGACTCTCTTGAAGTTCTGGGATGCTGCTGGTGCCTTCCAAAAGTACCTATTCAGTTCCTCTGCCATTTCTTTGTTCCCATTACAACTTCTCCAGCCTCATTTTTCAGTGGTCCATTGTCCACATTTGCCTTTCTCTTACCTTCTATATATATCCTAAAAACTCTTGCAGCCTCCTATTATATTATCTGTTGGCTTACTTTCATATTTCATCTTCTTTCTTTTAGTTATCCTCTGCTGGTTTTTAAAGGCTTCCTAATTCTCTGGCTTCCCACTTTGCTCATAAGACAAGCCCTCCATACCAGGGATCATCCTAGTGAACAATCTCTGAACTGTGAAATGATATATTTTCTTAAATAATGGGAGCAAGACTGCTCTAAGTACTCCAGATGTGGTCTCACCAGCATCTTGTGCAGTTGCAGAAAGACTTCCCCATTCTTATACTCCAACCCCCTTGAAATAAGGGCCAATGTTGTTTCATGCACACCCACCTTCCCACTCAAGTCCCTTTGTGTTTCAGCTTTCTGCAGTTTTGCTCCATTTAAACAATACTCTGTCCTTTTGTTCTCCATCCCAAAGTGAACAACTTCACATTTTCCTACATTATACTCCATTTACCATTACACCCTTGTTCAAAAAAAATTTGAAATGATTGGCCCAGCAATTATAGACCAGGCAGTTTAACTTCAGTGGTGGGGAAGCTTCTAAAAACAATTATTCAGTTCAAAATCAATAGTGACTAGGGGAAATGTGGATTAATTCAGAAGAGTTCGGTGTTTCTTGGTCAGCATAGACCTGGTGGACTGAAGGGGCTGTTTCTAGGCTGTATGATTCTATGACTCAGAGTCAACGTGGATTTGTTCAGAGAAATCATGTCTAACTAACTTGCTGGACTTCTTTGATGAAGCAACAAAGAAGATGGTATGAAGATACGGTGAACTTGCACTTACAAAATACAATCGATATAGATTTATGATTTGCTTTGATTTATTGTTGTCACATGTACCTAACTACAGTGAAAAGTTTTGTTTTGCGAGCAGCCTAGGCAGATCATATCGCATGAAGATTAAAGGGGGGGTTGAACAGAGTGAGGAATACAACGTTACGGCTGCAAAGATTGTGCACAGAAAGCAACATGACAGACTTAGAATTGAGGTTTAAAAGTGAAGAATGATTATGAGAAATGTGAGAATAGATCTGCTGTAGAGAGCTCACAAAGAGTCGCCCGGTTTTGGTGTCGTCTTGAATGCAGGGTTACCTGCAGGAAAGTAGTAGGTCAAGGAATAAAAGGAACAGCCATAGAGTGGATGCAAAACTGGTTGAGTGACAGGAATCACTGTTAATGGTTAAAAGGTATTTTTCAGATTTGAGGAAGGTTTCTAGTGGAGTTCCTCAGGGATTAGGATTCCCCTGCTTTTCCTGATATACATAAATCGTCTTAATCTTGGCATGCATGGATAATTTCAATGATATGAAATAGTGAGAAGGACGGTTTAGCACTTCAAAAAGCTCCTCTGATGCTACTTGGCCTGCTGTGTTCCTCCAGCTCCACACTGTGTTAACTCTATTCTAGCATCTGCAGTTCCTACTATCTCTGATTGATACGTTGGTGGAGTGGGAGGATTGGTGCCAGATGAAGTTCAATGTGGATAAACGTGAGGTGGTGTACTTTGGTACAAAGAACAGGGAGAGATGATAGCAGTCTATAATAAAGGATACTATTCCAAAAGGTACACAGGAGCAGACAGACTTGGGCGAATAACTGTGTTAGTCATTAAATGTTGGCAGTCAGGGGTTATGATGAACATGACATTGGGTAGACCTCAGCTGCAGTATTAGTACTGGGCACCACAATATAGGGAAGATGTGAACAGATTGGAATGAGTGCAGAAACAGATTTATGACAAAGGTTTCAGAGATGATCAGAGATAACACAGTGTGAAGCTGGAGGAACACAGCAGGCCAGGCAGCATCAGAGGAACAGGAAAGCCAACGTTTTGGGTCAGGACCCTCAGTTCAGTTTTGCAGATAGCTTGCAGAAGTTAGGCCTGTTTTCCTTAAAGAGGAGATTTGATAGAGGTTTCCAAAACCATGCGGAGTCTGGAGAGAGTAGATAGAGAGAAACTATTGCCACTTGTTAAAAGGTGGAGATCCAGAGGACACGATATCAAAACGTTTTGCAAAAAGGAGAACGTGAGGTGAGAAAAATCATTTCCCCCAAGGCTTTCAATGCACAGCCTGGAAGCATGGGGGAGACAGATTCAATTTAGCCATTCAAGAAGGTGATGGCTGATTGTTTCAACAGAAGTAAGATGCAGCTTTGTGGGCAAAAGGCAAAAGTTTGGCATTAAGTCAAAAAGCTTCGAGAGCTCGTACAAAGGGCTCTTGTGTGTAGTGGCAATGTTCCTGACTCTGAGCCAGGAGACCCGTGATAAAGCCCCATCTGCTCCAGAGGTGTGTAATAGCATTTCTCAACAGCTTGATCGAAAAACTATCTCCTTGGTAGGGCTAGAATATTCTTGTGGCTTAGTCATAGGATCCCTTCCTCTGAGCCAGAGAGCCTGAGTTCAAGTCTCACCTGCTCCAGAGGTGCGTAACAGCATTTCTGAGCAGACTAATTAGAAAATATCTCAAGAGCTTGTGCAGACATGATTCTGTGAGCACTACAATGTTTCGTTTCAGCTATGGCACTAAAGTTAGGAAAGAGCTAATTCGGTTTAATGATGAAGCAATTTTGTGGTAATGAGTTATCATTGTTTGTAAACAAGTGCCAATTTTGTTCCTCAGGATGACAGTTTTAATCACATCTGTGTAAAAACAAGAGGGGTTCAGGGAAGGATGTGCAAGTAAAGAGGTTGTGACAGTGTCACTAAATCCAGAATAGAACGTGATGTATAAGGAAAGAAAGCATTGTGGAATCTCTACAAGTTAAAGGCCACCTTTGGAAAATTCGGGAGAACAAAGGTACTATTTTGTTAAACTTGCATGGATGAATAGTTTGCTGAGTGATTTTTAAAGAAGAAATTGCTGCTTTGGTTTTTGATGCTGACTTCAATAGTTTTCAATTCTAATTTCATGTTTAAAATGATTGGATGTGCCTTGCTGTGAACACATCATGTTAATACAGCAAATTTCACCATTGCAGGAGACAACAGGACTGTCTTGGTGGAAAAGGATACATTAGGAAAGGCAATGGATATTAGAACTATAGCATTGTACAAGTGCAGTGGGCTCCCTGAGAACCTATTATGAAGGAAATGATTGCTGTGGACAGTCACTGAACCGCAGAAATGTTGTGGTGTAGAAAGTGGCCATTCAACCCATCAGGTCTGCACTAACTCTCTGACCAAGCATCATTAGCCAAGAAATATTTTCCTCTGTTATTGATAAAGAGAACCAGACCACTGAGGTTCTGAATATTTTACATCAGGTGAAGATTTATTTCATTATTTGTCCAACCAATGAGGGGAACCAATAAAAATACTGAGACACCCTGGAGTAAGCCAGTCACTCTTACTGATTATATCACCTGTATTCGTCTTCCAGAGGCTTAATAAAGGGGAAAAAAGATATTAGTTGAAGATACATATAGAGGTTAGAAACCAGTTTCATTGCATAAAGTTCAATTAAGGAGTGACATAGAAAATAAAAAATCTTGTTTGAATAGTGCAACAAATTCCTATAGAAGGAATTGATTTTATCTTGGGGGGACCTGCCTGGTTCAAAAATTTTAGCCTCACAAAGGGTGTTGAGAAATAAACAAAAACTGAGAGGCAACAGGAGGAATATTCTGCATTGTTTCCTGACTGTATTGTAACTAAATCTAATGCCCATTGAATTAGACAGGAAGAAGGGGAGCTTCGGAAATTCCATTTTCTAAGATTATTTTCGGCTTAGTTAGAAAGGAGGAGGTAAAGTTTGTCTGTGATGGGAATGTAAGGCATGAGGCATAGAAGCCTGGGTGTTGTGCGGCATTATCAACGGTTCTAAATTGGATAGGTTCTGATCTATCTGTTCAAGACTGGGCATTCATGAGGGGCTGTGGATGATTATCAGCAGCAGAATTATTTTCAACCACAATCTGCAGCCTCATTGTCTGGCGTATCCCTCACACTCCCACTACGTTCAAGTCAAGGAGCTAATTTTGACTCAATGATCAACGCAGGAGGGTATGCCAGGAGCAGCACTAGACATCCCAAGAAAGGAGATGTCAACCTGATGAAACTACCAAGCAGGACTCTACGCCAAGCAGTGGAAGCAGCAAGTGATAGTTAGGAAGTAATCAATCTCACCAAACAATGGAGCATAACTCAACTCTGCAGTCCTGCCACATCTAGTTATTGGATGATAGTGAATGAATCACTCACTAGTGGGTGCTGCCTCCAGGAGCTTATCCATCCTGAATGATGGGGGAGCCTGGCACCAGTTTGCCCCCAAAGGGCAGAGCGGGTAGGGAAAGGCACAGAGTGATGGTGCTGGCTACAAAATTAGGATGGAGAAATTAGCATTGTTCTCCTCAGAGAAGGGAGACTGAGGGGTGATTCGACGAAGGCATACCAGATTATGACAGGGTTATACAAGTACTCGAGGAAAACACTGCTCTCAATATCTGATGATGCAAGGATTCGAGGACACAGATATTAGGCTCTCGTCAATAATGACAGCAGGTTGTCCCTTCGCTCAGTGAGTATTAACGACTGGGATTCATTGCCCAGGAGGTTGGTGGGAACATAAATGATCAAAGTTTCTGAAAGGAAATTGGAAAGGGCAATGGAACAGCACTGGCTGATTGCTTCATGTAGAGCCAGCACAGACCCCATGGGCTGAATAGCCTCCTCTAGTGGTGTAAATATCACTGTCTTCTGTTGTCTGACTCCAATAAGTGAATGGTTTTTACTTTTCGCAATTCACACTCATTCCAGTTTTGCTTGAATTCTTTGATGTAACACTTTCTTGGATGCTGCCTTGAAATCGCTCTTTTGTCCATGCTTGGGACAAGGCTGTATGGAGGTCAGGAGATAAGTGACCCTTGCACAAGTCTGGTTGAGTATCAGTGAGCAGGGTATCAGAAAGTGTCACTGGTCAGCGTTCTCCTTTTCTGGGAGAGTGGGGATAAGTTAGCGAGCAGCCTCTTTAAAGTTTGTTTTTTGGCTGTACCCCTCCCCTTCACACATGCCGCATGGTCTCTCTCTCACTCGCAGATGCACATACGCGCGCGCGCGCACACACACACACACACACACACACACACACACACACACACACACAGGCGTGATAGTTTAAAAGGGCAACACGTGTGCAGGCTGCATGGGTTCTTTTTGAGTTGCTGTGTGGGCACGTTACTCTGAGGGAGCACAGTATTGATGGTGTCCCCTTCATTTTGCTGCTGATTGAGATAAGTTGGATTTGTCTCACAGTTTGTGATTAGGAAGTACCTGGGCATTTCTCCACAATGTTGGGTATATGCCAGTGTTGTAATTATATTTGAATAGATTGACTGGGGCACATCTAAATCTGAAGGCACAATAGCCTTTAGTGCCACAGCTAGGATGTTGTTAGAGTCTATAACCTTTACAGCATCCGGTGTCTTCAACCTTTTCTCAATATGACATGGACAGAGTTGGCTTACCTGAAGACAGTGTCTGTGATGATGAGGACTTCAGGAGGAGGCCAAAACAGATCTGTCACTTGGCATTTCTGGCTGAAGAGGGCTGCAAATGTTCCAGCCTTTTTTTAGAATCATAGAATCCCTACACTCTGGAAGCAAGCCATTCAGCTATAGGGTCCACACTGAACCTCTGAAGAGCATTGCACTCAAACCCAACCCCTCTACACAATCCCCATAACCCTGCATTTCCCATGGCCAATCCACTGAAACTGCGCATCTTCGGACCATGTTGAATGACCCACTCCCAATTACCCAGTTGTTAATCTCATGGAAGAGCTTCTTAAAGGGAGGAGCAGGCCAGAGGAGATCTTCAAAGTGATGATTGAGAGGAGGAAACAGAGGCCTTAGTGCAGACCTACCTGTGGGGAGGGGTGAGGGACTTATAACAATTTGATGTTGCTGCTGTAATAAAGTGTTGAGGGGAAACAAAGGGGTTATTGAAATTGGAGGCTTGAATGGAGGCACAAAGTTGCCATGGTGTGAGTTGAGCAGTCGTGTACCTTGTGGTTGACCGTTTGGCCAGTAATGTGCACCGTGAAGCTGCTAACTCTCTGCTCTCCTGCCTGCTCCAATCTCCAAGGCAATGGGAACCACACTGTGACTGCTGTCTACTTTCGAGCTCTGTGTGCCAGGGCCAATCCACATCACCAGGCATTACCCATTGCCATAACGAGGTACCAACTTTGTCTCTGGACTCACTTGGGAGTTGACATATTAATACAGTGTTGCATCAAGTGATGCAGATGTAGCAAAGTAGAGTCAGGATGTGACAATTGCCCAAATATCTAGTGCCTCACCCTGAATTGAACCTCTAGTCCTGGGTTTTGATACTGTAGCCGGCTTCAGAGAGGATACAAGTAAATTATTGTTCAATTGTTATTAAAAGTGAGTTCGAGTTTGTTGTGTCATTCCCTCCTTAATTAAACAGCACTCTGACAATGGTCTGAATGCAGTTCTTTCAGGAATATTTACTCATCAAAGGTCAAATAATTCATTGCCATTAGTACCTCCCACGTAGTTAATAAATTACATCTGACCTAGTACAGGAACAGACTGGACAGAAATCTAAAAGCAGCTTTCTTACCAACCCTGGAAGCCAATAGAGTATCTACGAGTTCCTGCAACAAAGCATTGCATGAATAAATCAGAGCAGTGTGGAGACCTCTCTCTGTCTGTGCTTTATGATGCGAGCACCAACATTCCTTCCAGAACATTCCGCTCACTGGGCAGTGAGTGATCCTGAGGGACACTGAAAAACAAACAGAAAACACTCACTGATCTTTTACTGATGAAAGAGTGAAAACACACATTTACATAGCGCCTGTTAAGATCTCACAATGACTCAGTGTGTTTTGCAACAAATGATATAATGTTGTAGTATAGCTACCCTTAACATTCACAAAAGCATTAGACTCCAAAATGAGATACTGAGCCAAGTAAATCAAATGACCAAAAACTCAGTTAAAGAGGTACTGTTTAAAGAGTGCCTTAGGAAAGGAAATACGATGCTCAATTTACAGGCAGCAAGCTCTCCCAAACAAAGACATGACCATGGCCAAATGATGTGTTTCTTGTCGAGGTTGATGAATAACTTTTGCCCAGGACACAGAGGTACATCTCCTTTTAAAGTCAAAGCATCATAGAGATGTATAACATGGAAACAGACCCTTCAGTTCAACTCGTCCATGCCGACCAGATATTCTCCATTAGTCTACTCCCATTTGCCAGGATTCGGCTCATATCTCTCTAAACCCTTCCTATTCATGTACACATCCATATGACTTTTCTCTGCTTCAAAATTGTAGCTATAGAATCACTCATGTTCACTTTAAAGGCCTCAGCTTAACATGTGATTCAAAAACTGTTTTGTCTGACTGTGCTGCACCCCCTCATTGTCTGCCTAAATACTTCACACCATCTTTCTAGCATGCCTAGGAAGCAGGGTCATTGTCTAAGACTGGGATTGGCAACAAGAGTGGGTTAGGTGCTCAGGTCTAGTTACGTCAGGGTGGCTATGTTGGAGTTCTGTGAGTATGTGTGAAGCAGGGACACAAGGCACGTTCTTTGAAACCTTCCTTCACATCATTTATGGCTGACACTGGAACAGTCCTTTATTCTCAGGACATTAGTACTCAGATGAGGACTTTCTTTGTTCGAAGGGTTTAGAATCTTTGCATTTCTCTATACCAGAGGGTATTGGTTGCTCCATCATTGAATATAGTTAAGGCTAGAGAGATCCATAATAGTGGGGCTGAATTTGTGCAGGATGGTGTAACTCTGATATGAATTGTCACTG